TATGTATCCAAAAAAAGTTCTTTAATGACCTTTTTAAAAACCAAAAACACAGAAAATAAGAAGACTTGATTAACCAACTGTGCTTGAATGCTGCCTCAAATGTTACACCATCTATAGTCAGGCATTGCTTTCAGGCAAAAGAAACGTGCCATTAACTAAATACTGCGTATTATAAATAGTGTTGGGATCATTACTCAGAAAAGTGATGTATTACTCATTGTTGCCGCAATGAATTACGTCATTTAATTACTCCCTGGAGAAAGTAATTAATTACACTATATTAGACTACTTGTGCTACTTGGCCACATGACCTGAGATGCTTTGTTACATAATAACCAGCTAACAGTGTAAGCAGATCTCTATCCTAATAAACACTGCACAAAAAAAGGTCACAGCGATGATTCTGCTGGACAAACAGGTAGAAATGGAGGCCACAACGCTCCCACGCCTCAGTGCTTTTTCTTTCTTACCTGTTGAAGCTCAAGTTCTGGATGCTTGCCTCTCCTGTGGTCAATATTCAAACTCATTTACACTGGGTTCAGGTTTGCTAGCTGCTAGCCTTGTGTTAGCACGTTATCTTTGCGGTTGATTGCAGAGAGCCGATGTGTTAGCAGCAGTTGCATGTGGGTAAGGTGCAGTTTGCCCTTTACCGTCACCTTCTCGTCCTTTGGCGCAGGAAAACAGCAAGCAGGCATAATATTCGTATTTTTCAACAAGCACAGAAAAAGAGCAAGTTAGATTATTTAATTTTTTGCCTTTATTTATTGTTCTCCCGCACAGTGCAAATGATTGGAGAGTTAGATTAGTTACTGTAGTGAGATTAGTGAATTTAGCACTGCATTGCTGCTTTACAGAAGGCCTTACTTTGGAAGGACTTGCCCCTAATATAGTGAATCATTAAAATAACATCTGTTAAGAACTAAACACCCAGTGTGGGGGGATTCTGCAGCAACTGTGTGATGGTGTAATGTCATTGTGGACAAAAATCTCTGGTAAATGTTTCCCATATTGTTGAATCAGTGTCACAAAGATAAAGATATTTTGGTGAAATAAAAAGGCACAGATATTGACATGTTGTGTTAAACTTGTAAACTGATGCATTAAACTCTATTTAACAAAGTACTCCTACTGTAGGTTGTTATACCAGATACTGCACATTATACAAGAAAGTTGTGGCACTCAAAGACTTTTAAAACCTTGAAATCTCTGGGAGAACTCTGCAAAAGCAATTTGGTTGGACTTTCAAGGAGCAGAAGCTTTTGAAAAGCTTATTTTGGAGCAAACTTTTTATGCATTTTTATCAGATTGAACTGGTTATTCTGTAAATGTAGTATTTTATGACCCTGTAAAACACTGAAATGAGCCTCTTTTTCTTTTTTTTTAAACAGATGAACATATTTAAATCTACAAAAGCTTCTAAGTCTTAATACTAGTACAAACTACTATAATTAAAAATAGACTATCCCATAAACCTTCCAGCAATCTCGTAAGACTTTCAAGATAGGGAGATTTAGCAAAAAAGCCTCTGGTAAAGTAAATCCGTTGGGCATCTTTCTTCGCCTTTAGACAATAATTCTGATGGCAAAAGAGCCAAACGGGACAGGCAAAAAAAAAAAAAGCCTCTGGGTTACTTTTGTGTTGGTAAAGACGACATAAGCTGCACCGTGGAGTCACTTTATGAGGATAATGTGAAACTCTGCAGTGTCGAATGATGCAAATGAGGCACAAAGTCTTCAGATGTTTCTCATGTTCTTCATCTGATCCTGAGCACAGTTCTGCAAAACACACTGACTGTTTATGGAATTCAAGGTGCTGCAAGACTTCACTGTTTTTGTCTCTGTGTTGAGGCAGAGCGCTGCAGTTTTCTGAGTCTTCATGAAGCCTCGGGGTGTTGGGACTGCAGTTGGGAACTTCAAACATTTTTAGGGTAACTGTAAAACCAGACAGTTCACACAAGAAAGGTGTAAATTTGGCAAAGCTTGCATTCCACAGGGGTTAGAGAGGCTCAACCCGGTCTGTCAAGAAACTCGGCTGGAGTTCCCAAGGCTCCCGCTATCGTGGCAAGGGTCAGTTTTAAGCATCGGTACATCAAAAACTGCCTTCCCAGCGTTGTTGTAACGGCACAGGGCTTAAAAATGGCACACCGGCTTAGCCTTGAAAGTGAGCCTCTTTTCTTCCTGCATCTTTTTTTAAACTAAAAAGAGGCACAACATCTGTGGTACAGAAAGACTGTTCCGTCAAGCCTTGTTTTGGTGCTAATTAGTCCAATTAGCCTTCCCCATCTCACACAGTTTTAAACAAAGACGAGCGGTAGCTCTGCTCGGCTTAACCAGCCCTGCAGTTTGATGTGTGGTAGTGCTGGAAAGCTGCAGAAGCCTCTGGTTACAGACACAGATGCAGGCTACTTTAAACAGTTTCGGGGCATCCCTCCTTCAGAGGATAACGCCGCATCCTGCCATGTCTTTTGAAATATCATATGCATGTCCCTTTAGCAGTATTTTAGCACAGAAACACGGTCGTATGCATTAGCAGTCAGGCAGCAGTGTGAAGGTAAAATTCCCACAGCCGTAATTTTATGATTAGCAATGCTGAAGGGCATGTTCCATATTGGTCGGCTGTACTGTGAGATAACAAATTTCATGAGGAGGTGTAAATGAACCAGTTAGATACAGTTCAACAGAGAACTACAAGGAAATTAGTTATTCTGAACACAAGAAGAACAATCATTCCTCAACAGCAGCCTGTTCGTAGAGGCAGTTTATCGTCACGAATCGACCCACATCTTCTCTCGGTCCTTACTCTTTTATGAATAATACTAATTATACAATTGCAATTTAGACAAATATTGTAATTATGTGGCAAGATAGTGATATCTGGCCATCCCCTCCCTCAACCATTATGTGTACCTTCTAATGACAGAGAGAACAGCACAAGAGCACAACATCTGAATTTTTCAAATATTTCCTCCTCAGGGCAGAGCAGCAGTAATAATTCACTGGTTTTTGCAACAGAAAACAAGATTTCTGTAGTGGTTTCACCAAATTCCCGTGTTTTTTTTTATCCCATGAGGAAATTATACATTCAGATGTTTTTATTTTTGTTCAATGCACTTGTAGAAGCAGTCTGAGAGAGAAAAAGAAAACATGCTTTACACCAGGCGGCTTAGATGAAGCTGTACATCAAAGCCTAAAACCAGGAATCTGTTTCTTTTCCTTTAGTTGTTTCAGCCTGTTTTAATTGTTGTAAATCATGTGTTTCAAAGCCACAATGTTTAGAGATTTAATGTAATCATACTGTTGTACCATGTCTTTAATTTGTTGAAAGGACTGCACCAATAAAATATGCATCCCGTCTGTTGCGTGCACTGATCTAATGCGAGATCTTGCTGTCGTGCTTTTGGTTGTGTCAGACATCTAATCCATTTTCTCAACCAGTTCAGGGTCATGGTGAGAACAGGGTGGGGTCACAGAGAGACAGGCACACTCATACCTACGTCCAGTTTACAATCACCAGTTTCTCTACATGCATCTATTTGGAGAACCCTGAGAGATCATGTAAAGTCCAAATACATCCTGACCAGCCATCAGATTCAAACCCAGTAACCTTCTGAGACGTTCTAAAATTACTTGAGTTCATGTAGTGGTTTTTATTGCGGTATATACCATGCACACTACCTGCTGCAAACATACGCTGTGACCATTGTACAGAGCACCGTGCATCCTTTATCAGCTAATATGCATGTAAATATTAGGCTTACATTCACCAGAAATTTATTGGATGTATAAATTGGCAAGTTTAGATAGCCTATAAAGGTGATAACATATCAGTGTTATTTTATTTCTGCTACCTTGTGGCAGTTACTGTAGGTTAAGGGGATTTGTTTATGGCATCTACATGATGCCAGGGATTGGAAGAAGGACTTTATGTTGTTACACAGCTTTAATAAGTCTCTTGTAACCACACAGCTCACTCAGTAAAAAGATTTGATTGATTTTACATCTCATGTATTGCTTTATCTGGTAGCATGCCCTCGTTCTGCCTTATATTGTATGCATGATTATGATTCGCTCAGTGATACACAGGCTAAAGTAGCTGCCCCCTGTCTTCTCTCACATGGTTTATAATAGCAGAGCAAAACTCTCAGAGGAGCACAACAGAAATCAAACCATAGCGACCCTCTGCCAGTGATCAAAGCCTACCCAGCCCCGACCCAGGAGACGAGAAATAAGGGGGTAAGGAAGAGAGAGATGGTGGGAGCGAGAGAATTCACACGTCTCGGCAAGAGCTACCTGCTTTACATATGAAACACACCTTTCTCCCTTTAATTTCCATGAAATCATGCAGGAAGCAGTTATTGCAAGGGAGGAACGAGGAGGAAGTGATGTGGAACGGCTAGAGGGGCCATTACAGCGAATCCCTCATTACACCCTGGTCACAGCTTTGGAGTATTACCCCTGTGAAAACACACTCTCACCCCTGGGTGGATAAGTCAAACAGAGAGTAGATTGTCTCGTCTTCTTTCTTCTCTTTGTGGCATGTCTGCGGTAGGGTTAAACTTATCAACATATGCAGCTTTAAAGAGCTGGGCCAAAGAAATTGTGTGTTGCATTCCTGTCTGTCTATGAATGAAGAGACTGATCCTCATTTTAATACTTTCGATATAATATCGCTGTCGTGCTGATCAGTAATCGGAGATCATACATTATCACTTCTGCAGCTTTTCATTTGAAAGCATATTATTGTTCTTCAGGATTATAATACTGTGCCATTTTGAAGATTAACTATGGAACTATGTGGGTGTTAGTGAGGTTTCATGGATATTTAAGACGCATATTGGCACAAATGAATATTTAATTTACTTTGTGGTCATCCATATTTGATAAGACATAATTTGGGACAGTGATCAGTAGTTCTTTCTTCATCCATTTGTTAATTCTCTCAGTGTGCTACATCACTTAACTTCCTGTCCAGGGATGAAAGAAAGAGGAGGCACATAGTAAATCTATTAAGACTTTAATTTTTGTAATGCTTTTAAATACATTGTGGAGAGAAACATTTGCACAAATAAGTTACAAATAGACGTACAAGCAAAAACATTTTGTTTTGTCTCACATTTTCAGAATAAGGTATTTATAGCAGCAACTAAACCACAGTTACCTGAAACACTCCAGTGCTTTCAGTCAACGTTTTTAACTCAGTTTAAAACAGAATTATTAAACTTTGGCTTAATTAAATTAGTCAACAGTCTCTGGGGTGTTTCAGGAAAGTCTGCACCAACGATCGGAAGTAAATAAGAAACAGGGAAAAGACTGTTGTCAGCCCTAAAGCGGAGGAAGTCACAGGAGGTAGCATCTTACTCTCCTGCCAATCTATTTTTTCGTTTCTTTTTTCTTTTTTTTTCTTTGCAGCAGGCAATGCTTATTGATCGCTATGATTATCATAGCCATCCATCCACATTTAGCTGCATTTTCATAGTCTCTTTGCTGAAAGCTGTACAAGAACTGCTTCAGCATAAAGCTGTTGCACTGAGCTGAAGGTTTGCCAATGCACAGATTATCTTATCCCAATAACTCACTGTGGCTGGCTTTATCACTACAATAAGAGGAAGACAAGCCACAACAACACATTGCCTACATAGAAACAACAAGACAAGAACGTACAGTAGTATGAAGTTAGACTTCGAGTTTCTGTGCCCTCTACATGAATCAAATTGCACTCACTGCTTCACTTTCATTGAAGGGAACAAATGCGTTTTTTAGATATAATGATAACATAAAAGAAGAACTCTGCGTCATTTATCAAATAATCGAAATGCTCTAGACAGGAATTAGACAATCAGAGCTCTCCAAAGTGATTGATGGGACATGCAGCCAATTAAGGGTCTAGAATAAATTTATGTAGATGGGATCGTGTATCTGAATTACATTCATCTGGTACAGCAGAGGTTAATGGCAGATAACCTCTGTCAGATTTTTTTTTTCATTAATATCATTATGGTAAGTGGGGTTGAGAATGGACGTAACTCACTGAAAGTGTATTATGCAAACAAATAATGTACCCACTACTGCACGACCAGTAAATCGTGTAGAAGTTTGAGCCAAGATTACTGTCACCCGTAAGAAAATGTGCGTATTGGCTCCGACTGACAGGCTCACCTGGTCGCGTGATATGTTTCATCCCTAAAACACAGTATTTTGTGCTAACGCTACAATACATTTTCTCTTAATATTAATGGTCCATTTGTATATTGAAATATGCACCAAACATTTAATATTCTTAGCAATAAATTGGAGGAATTCATTTGCAGTAAGTGAACAGGTGTGGCCTTGGTGTTGGGTTATAAATTGTGCTAAATCTGGCTTTTGCTAGTAGCAGGATAATCACCGAGGAGCAGGCCAGACACTGTTGGGGGTTAATCAGGGAACAAAATGACCACCTGTTTTTGCAAAGTGATGAGGAAAGTCTCACTCGGCTGATTGGTGCATTTGTACGGGGACTATTTTTGGGGTGGCTTCCTGATTGCTCTCCTGGAGGATGGCGGCTTAAACAAGGTAATGTGGTTGTTCTGATGATTACACAGGATAACTACACTGGAGTTACTGCCCGCTGGCAGAGGGACCACAATTAAATGTCTGCTTTAGGAAGTGGACACTTACTGTAAATCCGCGGCCTCTCTTCTGTGTTCTTCACGTGTATCCTCTCACAGATCAGTCATGCCACACACAAGCAGGCACACTTAATCGCAAACAAACAAATAACTACAAGTGCTTTGGCTCGGATGCTGATAAATACACCTGGAAGCATTGTATGTGGACACATACAGCCAAGAGCAGCCATGTGTGCACTCGCACAGTCAGTCATATGGAAAGCGCACATATACACACACACACAGATCACACTTTCACACAAGCATGTACTCACACTTCCTGTGTGTGGCTTCTGCCAGCTTTCTCCCTCTGCATGCCGACTGTGTGTCTGGCATCGGGGTCAAGGTCTGGAGCCACACACAAGCTGTGCGCTCTGCCTGGCTTTTACACACTCTGAATGGGCTTTATGAATGGCTAGGACTCAATGACTGAGTCAACACCAGGGGCCATACTCAACCCAATCCGACAACGGGTTTTGGAGATAAGTCAGAAATGACATTCTCCCAGCACAGCCAGGAAGCATGTTTAAATTAATATGCCACCAGGTTTTCTTTTGTTTTGCACTGCAAACATTGTGCTGTGGAGTGTGTCAATCCACAGATGTGTGGCTTGTTTGCCATTTCTGGCTGAGCCCAAGTGCTTTTAAAAAACACTACGAGTGTGCATAGGGTGAAAGTGTGCGCATGTGTTTGTTTTCTCATTGTCCCGTCAAAGCTGCTGGATCCGATCGCTGCAATGAATCCAGCTCTCGACATTGCGTGGAGCTGGTGACTTTTACAGCTGAACTGACAAATAACGAGCGATCACCCCTCGCAAGTCCTCACCACTGCTCTATCATCAGGTCCAGCACTCGATTGACATTTAGATCTGAATCCAGGCTCAAGTCTGGCTCGACAAAGGGGGCTGCTGGGGGGGTCAGAGGGCGGAGGCCGGACGACAGCGTTTCAAGCCAGTCAGCAGCGTCGAACGGTGTTGGAGCCCGTCGTTTCCGGGACCTCCTGGTGGATGGCAATGGGGAGGTACAGATGGGCGGTGGAGGAGGAAGTGGGACTACCTGGCTCGGGTTTATTACAGCAGGGGATGGAGGAAGCTCCAACAAGAGAGAGGAGCAAAGAGGTGAAAGCAGGGAGTTGTCGTCCTTGTGGTGCTGCTGGGAAGCCTGGGACTGATCATTTTGAAGAGGAGAAGGAGAACAGGCTGAGTGGGCAGGAGATTTATGGTCAGACACATTGACGGAGTCTGAAAGAGAGCCAGTACAAGGAATTAGACGATGAAAGCAATCCGAGTGTTAGTGAAAAGGAATTCTTTATTAATTGTGTGAGACTGACCGACAGAAGCAATAGGCTCATCTAGAATGTCATCAATGGACTGCCGAGGGTCCATCTGTTAGCCAAAGAAAAGGAGAAATACTTCATTTTACAGAACAAAAGATACTCCTTGTGATCTCCTGTTCATCCAAAGACTCCTGACCTGTGCTTTCTGGATAGCCTCCTGTAGCTCTTCCTCCAAGCTGCGAACAGAGGGTAAGGTCTGAATAGGACTTGCTGTAATCTGCACTGGCAGTTCAAAGTCATTGCCAATTGCATCACAGGGCTGGCAGCAAAACACCTGATTAGAAAGAAGAGATAAATTGTTTGACAGGTGGCGTATGCGCATGTTTGCATGTTTGAGAAATACTCCTAGATGGAAGGCTGTTTAGTGTGCCACTGTGCAGAATAATTTATACCCATTTATCCAGGACATGTGTGCTCTGTTTTGTATGTTTACCCGTGTAAACAACACCTCTGCGTGTGCATCTGTTTCTTGCTTCCCTCTAGAGCATCCCAGGTCCTGTTGCAGGAACGGATGGACGGATCCTCCACAAGACTAGTGGAAAAAGATTTTTATAAAGCAGTCACATCATTAAATGATCATTTCTCGTATCAACATCTGTCACACCAGAAATCTGAGTCTGTCTGTCCTCACCTCATTGCCGGAACATGTGGAGCGGTCTCTTGGCCTGCTCCTCATTCTCTCCCTCATCTCCAGCTCCACACTCAGCTCCTGCTGCTGTTGCTGCTGCCGCTGCTGCTCCTTCTCAGTTCTCCAGGGAGTCCCACACTGTAGGGGTGAGGAGGATGACATGGGAAGACTGGGACTTGGAGTTCCCGAGGCAGTGCTGGCAGGAGCTAAGAAGACCGTGTTGGTGAGACTGCACGGTTCCCCCGCCAAACTGACTGATGCAGCATTTGTGAAACCGTTTGGGACAGTGTTTAGAATTCCATTTGGAACTCTATTTGGAGCGCTGCTGAGAATCCCATTAGGAATTGCCCTATCCTGGATGTAAAGCTGCTGGTTTGGGCTGCTGCTGGGCGAGTCTAGCCCAGAGCTGGAGCTGGAGCCAGGGCTCTGGCTGGATGGCAATGAGGGGCAGGGGGTGAGTGGCTCTGGGCTGGTACCCAGCTGACAGAGGGGAGCCGGGGTGAGGCAAGCACTGGGAAGCTGGAAAGGACGAAGTCGCTGCAATAGGGCAGGCTTTGTGCCGGAGACAGGAAGGCCGCGCTTACGCAGCTGCTGCCGTAACTCTGACACCTGAGGAAGAAGAAATGGAGGCTATTATTGGACTATTGGAAAGATACTAGTGTAGGTACTTGGTTTCCTTTAATTGTGGATCATTTCTCAAACATTTTAAGCCATTTTAGCGTCTCTGTTCTCTGATAAACATGATTTTCTTACTGTTAAATCAACCAGATTAGCAGGGAGAAGCTCAGGCTTTGATGGAGGGTTTGTGTCCGTAGGGGTGTGATTGGTTGTAGCAGGAACAGGTTGGGGATTCTGTGGTATGGCTCCCGAAGACTTCAGATCACCAGATTCCCCACTAAAAGAACGACAGGAGCATGAACTCAAGTAAAGATCAGCTGAGTAGGATCATAATAAAATACCCAACACTGTGTCACCCACTAATCTGTTTGTGTACCTGGGTACAACAGTGATCTGTTCTTGTGGTTGTTGCTGCTGCTGCTGCTGCTGGTTCTGGAGGATTTGAAGCTGAAGGAAGACCTGCTGCTGTTTCAGAAGATCAGAATAGGCTGGGTCTAAAGACTGGGTAGGGTTAGGGCTCTTCTGTTTGGCTCCCACCCCTGAAAATACGTAAATATTCTGGCTAAACTCAATCACTTTATCACCTGAGCAAACCTTGATCTGACGAATGAGTGTTGCTGTTTAAGTAAACCAATTATATTGGTACCTCCTGTCCCAGCCCCTCCTCTCTGGTCTGGAGGAATGTACTGATGATATTTGAGTTTCCTCATTTTGGGCTTGGTGTCCCGCGGTTTCCGTGGACGGGGGAGATGGGTGAAGTTAAGGGAGTGAGGCAGAGTTGAGGTGCAGGGGTTGTTGGGAGGCCGAGCTGTCTATAAAGACACATTTAGAAAACTTGTGAGTTATTTCAAGAACACTTTAAACCATATAAGAGTAAAAAAAAAACAACCAAATGAGTCATTTCACATATGACATCATTAGCTGCACGCTACAATCCAATCCAACTTTATTTATATAGCACTTTTAAAAACAACAAAGTTAACCAAAGTGCTTTCCAATAATAAAACAGAGATAGCAGTTAAGAAAAGCTACATGAAATGAATAAATGCCTCACAAATCCCCCAGATGACAGCATGCGCAGGCTCCGACATATAACCAAGCTGCTCATGTGTGAATGCGTTAACCTCTGGGGCAAACACGGAGGTCCCCCAGAAGTGCAAATTGACATTAATGAATGCAGAGCAGTTTACAGCAGAGCATTGTTTCACAGGAGTGACCATCCTGTTAGGTGAAAGACCTCTACATTTGTCTTTTATCTCTCACGTTGTACACCTGCTGTGAGTACAACTACAGCAAGCACATACACACAGGCGTAAGACGTAAACACTGTTTCCTGGATGAAAATTTTACATCCACAGAAAATAATCAACTCACCAAATAGCACCCACGTAGGATTTTTGTTAGCTCTATGTAGCAAAATGCACATTTTTACACTTATCTTTTCAGAGCATGCAGAAGGTAAGTGTTTTTTACACTTATGTATCATTGTTAGAAATTTTGAAAGTGGTAAAAACTAAAGAACACAAAAGAGAAACAATATAACCAGAGAGTATTACATGAAAAGTAGCAATATTAGCGACATGATCCAGGTTATTCAATTATGAAATTGGTCTGAGGTCAAAGTCCATGATTTAGACTTTTAGGGTCAAAGGCGTAGAGAAGGGTTAATGTTTTAACAATGATGCAGTTTATGTCTCCCCCTCTCTGTGGATGTTTTATTACATCCATTCCCACATACAGTAAAGATCTGTGGTATATATGACAGCTAGAAGTGTACCAGCAAGGGTGAAAGTTTACAAGATGCTCGTGAGACCAGCTGTTACATGTGAGGCGTAGCCAGAGGCGGGTGAATTAAAAGTGCTGAGATTTGCATTTGGAGTGACAAAGATGGACAGGATTTTAAAAAGTGAGTACATCAGAGGGACAGCTTAGTTTGGATGGTTCAAGGACAAAGCAAGAGAGGTGAGATTAAGTTGGTCTGGACACTTTCAGAGGGGAGATACTGGGTACACCGTCAGAGGAATATTGGGAAAGCTGGAGGAGCTGGGTTAGTAGGAGAAAGGCGGAGGCAGAGAGGTTTATGGATGAGAGAGGACACGCAGGTGGTTGGCGTGACAGAAGGAGATGCAGACAAAGATGCAGAAGATTGGAAGAAATGGAAACAGATGATCTGCTGTGAATGAGAGCAACTGAAAACAGAACATAGAAGAAAAAAGGACAGCGTCCATGACAGCTGCTCAGCATGTGTCCTTTATGGAGTACAAACTGTTGGAGATGCATGAATTGCATAAGGTTTAGAGTATTTTTAAAATGAGCTTTTTTCTCATGCTATGTCATGCATTTTGTTTTGTGGCTTGTGATAATTTAAGAATTTAAGACAGCAACTCGGAAGTTCAGAAATGTGACTTTTCCACAAACCGTCCTTTTTCAGCGCCAAGATGTGCACGGCTTTTCTTCTTTTGTTTTCATGTAGCTTAAAGCAGCGGGGTTTGTATGTGGAGGAGCATGCATTAACCCCAGCTTACCTTTGGCAGCAGGGGTGTGGTCTGAGAGGTCAGATACATCCCAGTCGGCCTCCCAGTCGTTGCCATGGAGTTTGAGTCACTCAGCTTTACGCTCATAGGTTGTCTGATGCCCTCGGTTCCCGGGAGCACTGCCAAACCAGACTGAAGGCAGAGTATCAGATTATTAGAGCTGACATATGAAGCTATTTATAAACTCAACAGTACTGAATATATGCTTTAATATGTTTGTCCGTGGTTATAACTGAGAGCTCATATTAGACATTTTTTCCAAAATATGTGTGTTTTTATTAAAACTATATACTTAGTGCCATTCCTTCACCTGAGCATGACAGGGACCGTGGTTAAGGGTCGGGACCAGAGCCGAGCAGTCGCTCAGTAATTGGTCACCTGAGAGCCTCGGCAATGAAGAAAAAGCTGGTGATTGGTGAGTGCTGTGCTGCTCCGTGGGTGAGGATGAGGAAGAGATGTCATCTTCGAAGACATCAGCAGTCAGAGGGAAGGAGGCAGGACCTGAGGAAATGAAAAGCAAATGGAAGTAAGGTCAAAAGACAACGCTGGAGGGGGGAAGTGTGTGGTGGTTCATGCAGATGCGCGTTGACTCACCGTTCTCCGGAGGCGGCGTGCGTTCGAGCTGCTGCTCCACAGGTCCAGGCGGGCGCTGGATCCTCTCAGTGAGGTCCTGCGCCTGGCGAGCTTTCTTCTGCCTGTGGGCCCCACACGCAGTCCGCTCTACGGGTGGGAGAAAGTGGGAGGGATGGTGCAGATAAATGAGGAGAACGGGACAGATGGGAGATCAGTGGAAAGAGGCAAGATAGGAGAAAGAGAAGCAACAGGATTTCAGAACATATGCAACGTGAGCGTGCGCAACAGCTTTGCCACAGGCGATCAGTCCCGATTCAAAGCAGCAGAGGCATCAAAAACAAGTAAACACGCCTGCCCATGGGGAAATGTATTCCCTTGGAAATGAAGGCAACACACACACGCACGCAATCACACATTTTTAAAATGTCACAGAAGGACTATTAAGGAAATTATACATTTTGAAAAGCCAGATGCTATAATCATAGTGTTTTAAAATTAAAAGGCAGGTTAGAGGAGAAGGAGGTGAGTGGCATGATGAGAGAGGGAGATCTCAGTAATAGCCGAAAATGATGACTCTGATTCCTGGATTGACAGGTTTATCACGTGCTGTCAATCCCTGATATGTCCTGCCGGCTGCATGTGGAGCAGCGTTAAAGTGTGCTACAAGGTCACATTTCAGTCTCGCTGACAGCTGATGAAACACAAAGCCCTTTGTGAGATTTACACACTTCACATCTTTGCACTACTACTACTACTGTACGACGGGGAGCGGAGAACAGCACAGATGTGATATAACGCAGACCGAGAGAAATGGACAGGAGGGGAAGTGTGTTACAGTGAGCTACGCTGGGAGCATACAGAGCAAAGCAAGGAGGAGACAGCAACGTTACTGTGGGCATGGTATCACCTTGTGCAGTTTCAGCATTCAGACCACCAGGAGGCAACTTCTGAGTGGCACCGTCATCAGTTAGACGCTGCATCAGGAAACAGAGGGTCAAACCAACAGCCAAGGCCCAGAGGAAAGTTGAATAAAACTTTATTGTCAGTGCAGCCTAATGACATATTATTACACCAGGATTATTGCAAGGTTTTGGGAGACTTTCTATTGAAACTAGTGGAAATTAGTTTTCTTTAGTTGAGAAAAGACTTAATCATGAATTATATTTCTTATGAACTCACAGCAGTAACCTGACATTTGGACTCTTACTAATATAATCACCAACCAAGATTCATAAAGATATTTAGAGGGTTCAAATGTGTTGGGTGCTTCAAAATCAGTTTGGTGTGAAGTGTGAGAAATAAATTTTTTATAAAAAGAGACAGTATTCAACTCACCAGAGCTTCACTCTGGTCTTTCTCAGCTTTTTGAGGCGGGCACGTGGATTTCAGCCCTGTTCCAATCAGACAGACATGCAGTTAAAGATGAAATGTGGAAAACCAGAGTTTAAAAAAAAAAAAGATAATTTGTTTTTCTTAATCCAAACTCTCATATTAGACTATTTCAGAGAACAGTAGCCTAGAAGAATAGAAACTCAGGTGATGGGGTGCATCAACAAAGCAGCGTCAGCTTTCAAATGATCCTTCCAAGTTACAGCATGAAGCATCTCAGACACTCTTTTGTGTTGGCAGGCATCAAAAACGGAGTAACCTGCAGCCAGGAGGGAAGTGAAGCAAGGTGCCTGCCTGTCGGATGGGGATTGTTTTTGTCTGCTTTTTAATACATTTCTGCACTCGGCACTTTGAATTCTGTGCATGACACAATTTATTTATGCTCACATCTTCAGATAATGATTGTTGATTGTTCCAGCTTTATATATTTATCCTCATGTCTTAAGTGTGTGAACTTTTCCCCTTTCTAATAAAGTGCATATCTACTGACAGCAATAGACTTTTTAAAGTAAAAATAAAAATGTGCTTTTACATATGGAGTAATATCTACATTCACCAGCCACTTTTTAGGTACACATACTCAGCTGCATGCTAATGCAAATATTTAATGATCTAATGGCATGGCAGCAACTAAATGCGTATGAGCTTCCTTTGTAAGTTCAAACTGACCATCAGAATGAGGAAGTCTGTGATGAGCTGGTGTGAGTCTTTCAGAAACTGCTGATCTGCTGGGATTTTACTGCACAACCATCTCTATAGTTTACAGATACTGGTCTGAAAAGCAGAAACTATCCTGTGAGTGGCAGTTCTCTGGGTCTCAATTTCTGCTGCCACATTCAGATGATAGGATCAGAATTTGGCATAAACAACATGAAAGTATGGATCCATCCTGACACGTCTCAGTGGTTCAGACTGCTGGTGGTCGTGTAATGGTGTGGAGGATGTTTTCTTGGCCCACTTTTGAGCTAAATAGCTACAGAGCATTGTTTAAATCCCACAGACTACCTGAGTATTGTTGCTGACCATTTCAACCCAGTACTAGCAAGGTGTATTTAGTAAAGTAGCTAGTATATTTTATTTTTATTTTGTTTATGGTATAAAAAATACTTTTTTCTTATTTTATCCATTTTTTGGGTAATGCTGGGATTATTCATCTAGATAAAATACAACAATATTAAAAGTAAGGTAGCAAAAAACTACTCTTTCAATATATTGTAATTTAAAAGGTCTGAGTGGGAACTAAATGCTCACACGTCCTTTTAACTGTGTTTTCAGGCTTTAGAAAACCAAACCCATTCATCTGATTAATTGCTTATCCAAGGGGAGGGCTCGAGCCTAGCCTAACCATAATGAGGTGAAAGGCAGGTTACAGCCAGGTCAGGTCACCAGTTTGTCTAAAGGCTAAGAAATACCTAAAATATATATATATATATGTGTGTGTGTGTTGATTTATTTATTTTGTTTTGTTGTTGTTTTTTAGACAAATCAGGCGAGTAGTATAAAGAAAATCTGTGAAACCAAGATCTGGTAAAACAAACGGTTAAACTGAGGACTTTAACCTGAGAGGGTGGGTTTCATATCCTATGTGAAGTCAATGTTTACTTGTTTACTTATTTACTTATTCATGTTTCTAGATTTCTGATTACTGCAGATCAAACCTAGAGCCTTATTGAGTTTTGTAGATTCATGTACAAAAAAAGTTTTTTTTAATATATAAATAAATAAATTCAGCATTAATCCAACCATTTTGCTGTTACAAAAAACGAAAAGGTCAGTATAGTAAAATCTAAAAAGAAAAAAAGAAAAAAAACTGGGCAAATCAATGAGCAATCGCCTTCCACTGAAAAGAAGTGACTTGAAGATCATTAATATGAAATGCACCCTGCAGTCATAGTGTACATGGATCAATCACAATGTTAATGATACACGTAGACTAACCTGAGTCTGCATTGATTTCACTCAGCCTTCGGTTCTGAATCCTCAGCTGCAGGACTGAAAGACAAGATTGAGCTGTGTTACCAAGAAAATGATTAAGTATTACACTGATGGAACAGTACATTAGTTTCATTTCATTGAAGGCAAAATTACATATCTGGAATAAGAAATCAGACTGACGTAGGAAGCTCGGAGTTAAGCAATGCTAGACAGCACGCTCACTGTTAAATGATATGGCCTTCAAACTCATGTTACCCCATGACTTTGCAGTGCTTGTAGATTATATATCTCCTTGAATGCTGGCACGCACATATTAACATACACACACAAACAGGTGAAGCAAGGAAGGGCTGTGCCCGTGACACAAAGTCCCCACCCCCCACCTCGCATGATACATTTCAGCAAGCATTGAGACCTGAGAGACCTGACAAGGGGAGGGTAGGAGAGGACTGCTCGAGGGGGGGGTGGAGGGCAATAACTATTTATCTCTCAGTATGTCTATTTCTGTTGGTCCCATCCCCCCCTTCAGCTGTCCCGTTCTCTCCACAAGCCTCTCATGCATGCCCTCCCCCTCACATCACTCTCATATGTGCTGCTAACTATACTCTTCCTGCTCTTTCCTGCCTTTCTAACTCTAAAGTTTAAAAGGTTTCAAGATCTGTATTTAAAGCAGCCTTACGTATCAGTCCCCTGGGTTTAAAACAGGATAGGGAAGCAGTGTTAAGGTAGTTTAACTGTTCCTGAAGGGCCAAATAAATATAATATAATACATTTTCCCTTTTTGCACCAAAAAGTCAGCAATTGTCTTAAAATCTTTAAAAATTTCTGCAGGGACGCTCCAGATGAAGAGCCGACAGCTTTAAAGCTGTGAAAAACAAAGACAAAGAGTTATCAGATGCTTTGTTTCAAGTGGCTACAAGCTATAAATAATCACTGTTATTCTATTCAGTTGGATGTCATCATCTAATACGTGCACGTCCAAGTTCGAATTAAGTGCAATCATAATGCTAGCTGACAAAGGGATCAACAAGTTGGATATAGTGGTAGATAAAATATATTCCTCCAGCTCAGCTATGTGCATATACGCTTTCTGACAGAGCAGCTGCTTATAGAATCACGTTTTCCAGCAGGTGTTTGCACACCTAGGGGACTGTCTGTGTCATTTTCTCGCCGTTCTATTTTGCCAGCCGTTTACGACAGCTGCGTGGGAACTCAGCAGCAGCCGCTGCAACTTGTTGGGGAAACTAGCATCGTGTAGCTTGGGAAGGGTTGCCTAATGCTGTTTGTCACAGACTGCTGGCTGCCTCCTGAACGGTTCACTGTTAGGTTATTATCACACCTATCACTGACAATGTTATTTACATTTTGGTAGGAATGCATGAAGACATCATTCTCCTTTAAACTCGGGCCATTTGTGCCTATTTTATGTTTGGGATTTCTGCTTTTGTGCAAACCCTTAATGGCTGATTTGATGTGGACGAGTCAGACAAAAGGTTTTGTGCACCTCTTCCTACTTTAGCAGTTATAGGTGAGGTCTGATTGTTTGTCATTTGGACATGAATTATTAATAAGACATAGATTTTAAATCTGGTTTTCAGAACCTTCAAATAATGAGGACTTTTCTGGTAAAGACCCACAGTCAGTTTTTTTTCCATAAGCACAACAAACCAGCCCGTTTCCTGATTGAAGTGTCAGACAGTAACGTTCAGAGATCTTTATCCTCGGGGTCAGCGGATTTACTTCTGTTCAAGACATCTCCATATGTCTGTCTGTAGGGAGCGATCACTAAATCCATTCGCCATGATCAATAACCTTCACTGGATTGATCACATGATCAACAGTGTGACTGACTAGCCAATAATCTTCACAGACATTTCAACTCAAAATATTGATGATCATGCATGTGCGCCTGAAATGAAAAGCCATTGTTGTGGGAAAACGAGTCCTTCTCTCCTTTAATTGGCATGAGCTCAAATCCTCACCTGAGCGGAACTTGTTCCGGATGAGAAGCGACCTCTCGGAGGCCAGCAGTGTCATGGTGGAGGGGGGGGAGACGATGGGGGCACGAGAGAGGAAGTGGAGCAGAGAGAAAGAGGAAATTCCTGGTGTCACCCTACCAGGAGGAATGGACTCCTCTCCTTCTGTCTCTCACTGTTGGGAATGCAGAAGAGCGGAGGAAGCAGAGGAGAGAGGCAGACAGATGCTTGTTAATCCACTGATAGACACAAACCAATATTGATAGAGGCACACAAAGCATAGCGAAGATACATTGAGGAGGAAATAGAGACGAAAAGCTTCTCAGACCTACAGGCAGACTGAACTTTATGGTTAGCCGCTCTGGCAACAGCAGGCCTCCCTATAGACAGCCTGTCATAATCACACAGAGAGTCACAAGGCCCACCCACAGAGACAGAACTAACGACACAGAGAATTAAACAGATGGGAGGCTTTTAGAGAGAGACAGGGCAAGGAGCCAGACGAAGAAGACCAGGAGAAAAAGTCGAGTTCACGTGAGTGAGGGAGACAGAAACCCCAGCAGATACTTGGACGTCAGGGCTGGAGGACACTGATTGCGACGGACAAACACGAACTCGCAACACCTACAGCATGGCGCCGGGGACGGCAGGCCAAAAATGTGCCTTCCACTAAAAAGAAGATGAGCTGACTCTGAAATAGAGAGAGAGCTGGGAATCTACATGAGCTGCATTAGTGCACATACACACACAACCTATTAACAATATTGATTTGAACTGGCCAGCCACAAAACACCCAAAGGAAGCCTGTTTGAAGGGACTCTACAAACACACACACAAACAAAACCACACACACACACACACACTGGAATAGCTGAGGTTATGCATACTAAATCACCGCAGAGCTCTTCCTATTCCCAATCCGATAAATGCACACACTTCACTTATTTACAGCCTAAAGAGTCCAAAAGAAGGCCTCTCGTTCATTAATGCAATCAAATAACAAGCAATTGATTGAGATTTCACGTCTGGCACAGGCATTGTTTCACAGCAGGGTGCTGAGTCACAAGAAGGAACTAAAAAACACAGAGAGAATAAAAGCAAGCGAATGAAAGAGAATACTTACAGGAAAAGAGAGAATTGAGTCCCTCGGGGGAAATTGGAGTGGATTTAAGATTAAATTGAGAGAGGTGCGAGATGGAGGAAGAGAGGGAAAGAGAGAACTTCGTAGTGCGTTTAATGACGATTTCTTTCTTTCATGTTCTTTTCATATCCTTAGTTTTTTGGGGGTTTTTTCCTGAAGGTGAAACGCAAGGAGGGAAAGGATCTGCAGTTCCTTCGTCCTCCTTCCGATAGAAGTTCACCGTCTCTACCTCTGCCTCGCTCTCTCTGCCCCTCTCCCCCCCGTCTGCCCCAAAGCATCCTGGATCATCAGTGCCAACTGTGAGCGACTGTCAAACTTCACCCCTCCCCTGCAGTGACCTCACCCCCACCAACCCCCCCCCTCTCTTTTTGCTTGGAGCAATTTACCCCCTTGACATCTGCAGACTGAAAGAGTGAGGAACAGATTACAGGACAATAAGTACTTCTGTGTTTGTTGCACTTGACTTTAACATAGAAGAGGATAGAGCAGTCGATTTAATGTTAGGAGCTGGACTGTCGCATGATGTGATGATAGAAAAGTGTAAGCAGGATTTCTTTAAGAAAGGGGGGACAGTTTATTATAAAGCAGCTAGAAGAAGAGTGTTTTGGACTCTCTTCAAGTCGTGTACTGAAGCACGGCTGCAGGCTCATATGCTCCTGTCAAGACACCTTTAGGTCACCCCCCCCTAAAGTGATTTACTGTTCTGTGTATGTGCAAGTGTGCAAGTGTGTGAGTGTGTGTGTATGAGACACCGCACAGAGAGTCACAGGTCAGTAAGTTAGTGACCGTCAGCATACACTATACAGTGTGGTTCCAGCAAAACCAGTCAAGTTTCACCTCAAAAACAAGCAGTGTTTGCGGGTGCGTGCATGATGTCTACACATGTATACATACGTGTGTGTGTGTGTGTGTGTGTGTGTATGCATGTATATGTGTGGCTAATGCTGCAGAGGGGAGGCGGGGAAAGTGGGGGAAGTGAAGTTGAAGCAGAGACACCTGTTCAGTCCTTTTGACAGACAGACGGGTGTGTGCTGGTTCAGCAGGTCATGGAGAGGAAGGGAGGCAGAGAGGGGAGGTAGAGAGGCGAAGGCAGAGGCGACGGGTAAAAGTTGGTGAGGAAAGGAGGCCGACACACATGACGGAAGTCTTATTGGTGAGGACAGGAAGTGTGGTGACAGGGAGACAGTGGGTTAAAGCTCTTTTTATCTGATAAGGAGAGAAAGACACCAACACGGAGATCCACTAATCAGAGAACACGGAGCAGAGATAGCACTGCATGGGCCAATTACGGTTGCCATGGAACAAAATGGAACAACTAATGGAAGACAAAATGAATGGGAACCTTAATTTAATAGATGGTTATAGACAGAGCGCTCTTTCAGGTGCCATTTGCACAGTACGTCTGTGTTTGTCATCATTATAAAATCTCACCTTTGGCAGCTTTTCCTCTCATGCCCTGCAAAAAGCATTTTACACACTGCTCCGACACACACATACACATATATATAAACACTGACAGCATGCCATGTTATTGTAGGAAAGGTGATGTAATTGCTTTTTCCTCTGGTTCCCCCCCATCACAGCTTCACCCTCTGCTCTGCAGCAGGGACTCCCTCTCTGATTAACACCTGTTACCCTCCTTCTCTGTCACACACACACATATGCACAGACAGACTCCACAGTGTTAATCCTACACTGTGTCTGGTGAGCGAATTAGCTTGCACGCTGTTAACCCTTCCCTCTTGATATCATATTTCTCTGTGCTATTCTGGGCTTACCCATCTTTTTTTATGTGGCTAATGAGCTAAAAACTCACTTTGTCTATCATTTGGCTTGTAAAATTCATTCACTGATTTCATACTTTAGTCGTAACCGCCTCCACAGTCTGTTATATTTGCAGAGCTTGAGTGATGCAGCTCTCAAGAGAGTCGCTGTCTTCTGCCTTTCACCCTGGTGTAAGTGTCTCTCCACCATTTGAGAGGCTTGACATAGAGAACGAGCCAGACGTGCAGCACATCCTAAGTGTAAGTGTGCCCCCGCGTGGCTGAACTGTGCAATGACAGTCATATACATTGGACTAAAAAGAAAAAAAGCTTTCATGGTTTGTTTAGCTCTACATCATTTTGGCTCTCAGTGACAATAATGGGCTGTCTGTGATGCAACAGAGCAGATATACAACAAACATATCAAAGTGCCAAATGTATCAAAGGGAATAAAAAGCTGAGACACACACGCCGAGCTCACTTCATTACATCTGCTGCCTCTCCCTGGTCGTTCATCATTGGATCTATTCTAGTCCGTCTCTCCACTCCTCCTCTACCTTTATCACTTCAATCACTTGGCGATGTGCCTTGTGCCACTCAGAAGGCCTGCTGCCCGTTCCACTTCACGCAGCACAAACACAGCCACACACACACAAGGAAATTTCAAACACGGACTCTACAGATTCCTGTCCTCCGTCTGTCTATCATCCATCTGTCTGTCAGTCACTGCACTTTGAAGCTCGGTGCAATCTGGATAGTTAGCAGCCAGCACACACAGAGAAGCGCGCATACTGTACAGTGCACACACATCTCCAGCTGGACTGCTGAGCTCACACATTCAACTGGTTGAATATTCATCATCTCCATCGCGCGCTGAGGACCTTGTAAGCTCAGCAACGCAACAGCCCAGTGGTGTCAATTAAAGGGCTCGAATCTGTTTTGTGTTGTTCTTTCTCGTTCTGATAGGAGGCCACCGATTTAAGTGAATGCTCGAAGTGACCTTCACAGTAGGTAAGCAGTACTTCAATTGGCTTCTTCAACAAAAAAGTGAGGAGCTGTTAGGTGACGGGGGGGGGGTTTATTTATTAGAATTTGATCTAAAAAACACAAAGATATGAATAAAGCGTTGTAGCCTTGTAGTTCAGAGTGCTGCTGCTGCTGGTGCAATAGTGTGGAGGATATTTTCTATTTAAACACCTGAGTATTGTTCCTGACCATGTCCAGATATTCAGATGGCCTCTACAGTCACCGGATCTCAGTCCAATAGAGCACATTTGAGATGTGATGGAAAGCAGCTGTGTGATGCAGTCATGTCAACATGGAGCAAAATATCTGAGGAATGTTTCCAGCACCTTGTTGAATCTGTGTCATGGAGACATTTCGACAGGCAAACGGGAATATCAAGGTGTGCCTAATGAAATGACTAATAAATGAACACATGGAAAATTTTACCAGTGTTAAAAAAGTTTTTTAATTTTGGTTTCCAAGGACAATCATTATTTGATTATTGAGAAATGTATGTAAGTAAAAATTTTCAACTTGAGTACTTCATTCATCAAGATTTGATGTGTGATTTAAGTGTTCCCTTAATTTTTTTGAAAGGTTCGTATTTTTCCAGTCTGTCTGCCTGCCTGTAATCATTCTTCCTGTCCATACTGGCACTGAAGTCATTGCTTCTCGATATTAGGCCAGCAGAAGAGATGGAGTACAAAGCACGGTCCTCTTTTGTGCAAAACTGACCTCTAAAACTCTAAAATATGAGGCTTCCTCAGCATGAATTTGTACAAATCCAGCTGATGTTTGCTCTAGTTAAAAGGTTTTAACACTTTAGCTTCCATAGGCAGTGTGTCCTTGTTGGCCTTTGGCAGAAAAGTAGTAATACAAAGAGAGAATTTGGTTCCTGAAGATACTGTAAGCCACCTCTTTCATTAAAATTTAGATTTCTGAGTCGTATTAAATTCAGCCTAATGTCAGAGCTCTTACAGCGAGCTCTGATTGTGGATTTTGTTCCCCATCTCTACACTGAAGTGCCATTAAGAGGGATCCTCTCACAGGCATGAACAAGGGGAGCAATTACAGTTACTTACAGTCCTAACCCACAATGCGAATGGGGTTTGTTAGCATTGTTTTAAGACAAACTTGAAAATTGTAAACTGAAGCTGCACTGATAGCAGTGCAATTCCTGCCGAAAATATGGTAATAAAGTGGTATTATTTTTTTCAAAGCAATTAATACCATATTCAGTTTTTACACATCCCTAAAGTCTCCTTGTAATTAAAAAAATTCAAAGAGGTAAAGCTAAAATATCTGCTTTTTAATGCTCGGCTATCTGCGAGCACAGGGCATTTCACAGGAGTAAATTAACCACTCTTAATAAACTCCTCAGTTAACCTTTGATCCTCACACTCTGCACACCTTTCTCCTTCCACTGACCCTCTGTGAAAGTGAATTTCCTAAACTAAAACACAATGGTGCTCAGCACAAGCCTTTCAGGAGGCCAACGCTGCTCAAACAGCACAATGGCCGGCGTAGAAATGAAGAATGGGACGCCCATGACGACCCAGCCAGGTCATTTGAGCGATACAGTATTTAATAACTTATCTCCAGCTTACCTCTCTTAGGCTCCATGGCTTAAATGGAGCAGAAAATTGAGAGAGTGCAAAAAACAGAGGCCCGGCTTCCAAACTCAATTACTCCCTGGAGGCTGTCCAAGTGGTCAGCCTGCACACCCAAGCAGATCCACGAATCTTAATGTTTTTTTTTTCCTTAATCATAGGAAATCATGGAAATCTCCTCTGTGGCGATTAAGCTGGCAAAAATGGATCAAATTAACTAAGAAGAATAACTTCATGCTGTGTAAAGACTTGAAAGGTGAGGCTGTGTTGTGCAATCCACAATGTGATAAATGGTCTGGTTCTTATATGGTGCTTTTCTACTCTACCTGAGCACTCAAAGCATTTTATACATCATGCCTCATTCATCCATTCATACAAGCACTTTTTTCTATGCTTAAGAGCTTTCTGTCTAACATTCATACCCCAGTGGATGCATCGGAGAGCGACTTGGATTTAGCATGCAGACTGAAGCAGCCAAGGACCGAACTATCAACCTTCATACCACCAGCTTTACCTCTTGAGCTACAATAACTCCCTACAAAGCAAGGTGGAAGGAGATAGAGAACAGTAAAACTTTAGGACCTCTAGTACGAGCTATGCTAGCAGAAAGGAAACTAAAAAGTGAACAATTTTTTTTTTAAAAAACCACCAGAATAAAGTTGGCCTTTAGATTTTGCCAGAAAATAATCAAAAAATGTGACTTAGAGAGAGAAATAAAACATAATGACTCAGATTTTACCCCCCAAAAGATGCCAGTTAAAGTATGGACTAGTAAAGACCTAACAGCCTACTGTTGCTTTATACACAGAGAAATTATGGTTTGGAGAGGTTAAATTAAATCATAAGGAGGGGCTGAGAAACAAGCAGAAACCGATATATTGAATGTCTTCCTATCAACAAACAAACAAGAAAGCAGATATAAAATAATATCGAGGCTTTGCAATTCTTAGAAGTAAGCATCCAAAGTCATACAGACGAATGGAAAAGTGAAGTGGAAATAGTTGTATCTGCAGAAGAGTGGGAAACTATTGGGGAATTATGCTTTTCATATCCCTGGAGGCTATTTGAGTGGAAAAACATTCTAAGATTTTTTTTTATTAGCGCTGCCCCGAGAAAGCACCAAGGTGTAGGAAGGAATTGTTGGAGGATATGTGGCTCATCAGTGGGTAATCATTGCCATTTATTCTGGGAGTGTTCAAAACTCAGGCTATTTTAGAGTGAAATCCATTTGATGCTCTGACAGTGAATTTAAGCGCCTCGGCACAAAGATCCAAACTAAAGAAGGCAAATACTGAATGAGAGTACTACCTGTAGGAGGGTAAAAGCCGTTCTTCTCTGACAAAAAAGTGATCAGACACGAACTGAGGATTAGTTCAAACTTAATGGGAATATTCTCCTTTTCCCTAAAAGCGCAGCAGGATAAGTTCATGGAACTGTGATCAAAATGGATTGCATTTATCACCCGACTTCAACCAGACTTTAACTGGAAGCGACAGTTTTATTATCACTGTGATGAAAACTGTGACGCTTGAAACTTGTATCTAAATCGCAACAAGCACAGAGAGAGGATGGGGTTATGTCTTTCTGCTATAATGTATTATAATTAGTAAAATATTAGAGAAATTAATACAATGTAGAGTTTTTTTGTTTCGTTTTTGGCAAAAGTCTGCATGTAACGCTCAATTGTAATAGTTTATATATTAAAATTGTGTTAGCAGATTATAATTTAATGGGTGTATTTTGCTTTTGTGTTGTAGCTTCACACATAAAAAGGATTTTTTTTTTTTGTTGCTTTTTTTTGTTTTTGAAAAACGGGGCAGCTGGAGCTCAGCAAGCAGAACTATGTGTTCATTAACTGGAAGGTCAGTGGTTTGATCTCCAGCTCCTCCAGCCTGCAGGTCACAGTGTCCTTACACAGAAACACACTCTATACAGAACCTCAAAACAGTGGGAGCGATATGTAAATACAGTCTGTTTATACTATTTAAAGTGGAGGAAAAGAAAGAGCAGAAACAGAGAGTTAGCTTTGTGAAAATTTAATACCAATAAATTAACAATATTCAAAATTTAAACAAAAACAAAATTGAATATAGAGTTTATATTAGAATAACTCAAAAAACATTTGGTCAAACTCTTACAGGATGTGGATTAAATACAGAAGATCAACAGCGGCAACGAAATTAAAAGTAAGCGTTTTCATACACAATGTAAAAAAAATAACTTTTGAGTTCAAAGAAAACGAGTGCAAATTCCTCACAGTGTGTCTGACGGTAGGAAAGATTATATCTTTCATATGAGATAGTGCAGAAGTGCAGCTCTTACAAGTAGTACTCTTTATATACACGACTAGAGCAGAGGATTGTTTAGTTCATAAGCTATCTTTCTTTTTCGAGCACTTTAGGGTTTCATCGTGGATTGCATGGGAACGCAACTTCATGAGGACTTGTTAGCGTTTTAATTAATGTTATGAATTCCCACACACACACACACACACACACACACACACACACACACACACACACAAAGAAAACATGACTTCAAGAATGAGTTTTCCCTTAATTCAAAGTCACATCTGACTTTGAAGGCTGTGTTTTGGCCCTTAAAATGGAATGGGAATAATATACATTCATATAAATAAATTAACATTAACAATAAACAATAAATATGAAAGTGCTCCCTTCTTTGATTCTTAGTCAATAAAAAGAAAAGATCAGAGTCTAACTGTAGTTAGATATCATCAACAGCACTTCTCCCCTAACTCCCTTTACTTTAAAGTGTTACGTTTCCACCTCAGACTCTGAGTTATCCAAATTAGACACAGTGGAGCTGTACCATTCAGCACTCTCCTCTTCCTCCTGGACTCCTGACACACCACCGCCTCCTCCGTCTCCTCGGCTGCCTCCTCTGTCTCTTCTCTCGTTAAGCATTTCCATGGCTACTTGGTGGTAGGGGTGCTTGCGTTTGGTGTGCCGCCGGAGGGTGTTGCGCTCGGCAAAGCGCGTGTGGCAAAGCTGGCATTGGTAGGGCTTCTCTCCGGTGTGCACCCTTTGATGGCGCTGGAGCTCACCTGCCTCCCTGAAGCGCTTGGCACAGATGGGGCACACAAAGTTCCTCTGGCCTGTGTGGATGTGCTTGTGTCTCTGTTTAAAACGAGAGACAAACATCCAAATGATTACTCAAAGGCATATAAACAACATTTTAAGTGACATTTATATGCAAGTAAAAGGGCTTGTGGGAGGCGGTGAAGCAAAAATGAACTATCATAGCCCAAGAATCTTTTCCTCTGGTCTGTAATGTTGTTTATTTTTATTTTGCTGTATTCTGGAGCTATCCTCTGTAGAGATGTCTGCTTTCTTTTTACCAATAACGAACTAAAGGGACTTGTGTTTCTCAAACCATCAAACTGAAAAAAAAAAATACATGAGAAATTTCATGTAAAACTATTTTCTTTCTGCTGTCTACATCTGCCAACCAAAAGAAGCAAACAGCTGACTAAAATTATATCTCAGCTGGTGGGGGGTGAAGCCATTAATGTTTACAGTCTGTCATGCTGACACAAGCAGGAATTATAACAGTTCCTTCATGAAAATGCTCATAACAAGCATTTTGGAATAATCAGCCCATAATTTTGAAAAAGAGGCATGACTGCTGAGGTTTTTATACATCTTTGGTGCTTTGAGCCCCACAAGGCAAAGTCTATTTACTGTAGTTCCATTATATTCAGCGGAATACAACTCGGTAAGTCACACCAAAATGATCTAGATAAATAAAAAGCAGTACAGGCCCAGAGGAAAGTATGTGTATTTGATTTAGAGGTGAGCTGTTCCTTCGGTGTTTGCTCTCATCTTCGTAGTGCTTCGTTGGCTCTTTTAGCTCACTGTGTGAGTTTTTAGTATATCTGATAATGTCTGCCTCAGCAGGCGCTGGTATTTGGAGCAGAAATCTCTAAATATCAACTCCATAGCTACTGCTTAACTTCTACATAAGTGTGTAGATGGGCAGCAGCTTGACTGAGTTTGATATTTCACCTAGAAAGAGAGTAAGATGTCAGGTGTTTGATGACAGAGGAGCTAAAACAACTGCTTGGACAATAAAACTGACTGGCAGCTATTTTGAGACTTAACTATAACTTCTAATTATTTTTTAAGTGAGAATGTCAGATATTTTGTTTCCAGATTTTACTGATGTTACCTCAAAGAGCCGGACAGTGGGCTTGTAGCTTTTGTGCATGTGTGTGAGAGAGATGCATTCAGGTCGACACGCCATACAAGTTGGTGGCGGCAATGTCCCAGTGGGGCATCTCACATCTGGAGTGTGTGCATACTGTGGGTAGGCTGCAGACCTACAATAAGCCCCACTGTGGGCCCCCCTTGGCTTAGTGTGGGCAGCCCACAGTAATGAAGGTGCTGGGGACTAAACATAATGAAAGGAGTGCATTCTGCTTTCAAAAGTGTGCTGCCACTCACACATCACCCCTACTCTTGCTTCCCTTCACGGAAAATCAAATGAATTCTAAACGTTTATCAGTAACATATAACGCCCTGCGTGGCTGCGCTCCTGCAGCAGAACTACTGAGACCTTTTAACAGCAGTTGGCCTCTCAGATCACATGATCAGGGTTTCTTACCTGTTCCGTACACTTATGTTAAATCCGGAGAAGATCAAGCTTTTAAGGTTGTTGGAACGCCCTTCGTCAGCCAATCAGGAGAAGTCATTATTATAGTTAGTTTCCCCTTAATTATCGTCCCATTATTTTTGGCCATAGTTCACATTTGATGTGTTTTTGTAAGAATGAGTGTGTTTGACTGTGTGTCCATATGCTGGAACATGTATACTTGGTTTTATTCAAACTATGAAGCACTTTGGAACTGTGTGTTTTAAAAGGTTCTATACAAATAAAGTTATTGTTGTTGTTGTTACAGAGAACAGAACAAAAACAGCCAACATCCCCCCAAAAAGCTTTGAATGTCCTTAAAGAAGCCTGGAAAACTTTGAAGAATAAAGGTAGTGATACCAAATAATAATTTTTTGTTTTTCCTTATAGCCTGCATGTTTGCACATGTTTCAGTAAATCTCTGTACCCATTTTCCTAGCATAACATAAAGAAATGAGGAGTGGCTCCAGAGTTTTGTGGTGTACTGTATTGATATTATTAAACTGACTAGCTTTCATCTGTGGTTTAGTACCAAGCAGGTCAATGCACCAATGTCAGGTTTGTCTCCAGGAGTGTAGCTGGTACTTTTCGAATAAATCAGCTAACTGTTCATGAACAATATTTGCACATTTACACACATATTAAAGTTTGTTTTTGCTGCTCCCAAGTGGCCAACATATTCATTTGTTATTACTTGTCTTTAGGATGAAATGATGGTTATGATTAGCTTGTGCTGACCTGCAGATGGCTGGAGCGTTTGAAGGCTTTGCCGCATTGCTGGCAAACATGAGGCTTCTTCTGCGAATGGGTGATGGCATGGCGCTCAAGGTCGGAGAGGTAAAAGAAGACCCTTGGGCACAGCTGGCAGTACAGCACCCTTCGGGAGCCCGCGGTGTTGGGTGACGGCTCTGGAGAGAGTGGATCTAGCGGGTCAAGTTTACCAGGGGGTAGGATAGGTCCGATAGAAGGGGAGGCAGGAGCAGCCATGTTAGAGAAATAAAGATGGTCATCCAGAGGTAAATGTTCAGAGTGAAGGTCTGATTTGGAGTCAGGTGATTGGGCGTCTAATTCTGAGGCAGGCTGAGATAAAGAGTCATAGGTCAAACTAGCAGACGGCGGTCTCGGAGACGATGCTGTAAAATTTGATGGCTTGTTGTTTTCATTGGAGACCTCTTGAGCAGATATGGCTTCATTTCCAGGGTTTGATTCAGAGTAAGTGATCTGAGTTTGAATAAGAGGAACTGAGCTGTGGTCATCCTGCAGGGCAATAGTGGATGAAGGGACGGTGAGAGACGTGAGAACGGAGCCAGAATTTATGTTATTCATGCCAGACAGGATGACAGGGGGGTTATTGGGGCTGAGTCTGATGACAGGGTGAGACAGTGTAGGAAGAGGCGATCCCAATGTGCTAACCTGACCAGAGGACAGAGGAAGGGAGACCGGAGCTGCGGCCGTAATCTGGGACAGCTGGCCGGTCGAGGAGTCGAGGACAGCAATAGGGGTGGAGGTAGCGGTGGACTCACCAGAGGAAGAAGGTACAGAGGAAAGGAGAAGAAACATGGGAGTGGAAGCACCATGTGAAGTCTGAGTAACTGAAAGGGGAAGAGAGAGACCGAGTGAAGCCGAGGAGAGGTGAGAAGAGGAGGACAGGAGGAGAACAGGAGCATTGCCTGCAGGATTTGCGACAAGTTGAATGGGTTGGGTGGGGACTGATATCCCAGAGGAAGGGGACAAAACAGAGCTGGCATCCTGAACAGCTTTAACGCTCGGCTCTGCAGCCACTGAAGGGTTCGAGTTTGTAATCAAACTTGTGAAGACTTCTGGAGCTTTATCCTGATCATCACCTAGTGATGAAGAATCACTGATAGGGGGTGGCGAGGGGTAAAAATCACCAGAAGGTGCATTTAGTGCATTATCTGTACTTTGGCTGGGACCTGCTAACGGTGCCAAAAGCGACGACTCCTTTCCTTCTGCTTCTTCTGAATTAGCATGATCAGACTGAGAATCCTCCACCCTGGAAGCATTGACTTGTGGCACTTTGAGTCCATCTGGATTGAGCGTATACGGAATTCCCTGGTCATCGATGAGAAGAAGATTTTCAGTGTCACAGTCTATCGAAGAGAGAGAGGTCAAAACAGAGGTAGAAAAGAAAGAGGGAGACAGAAAAGCATCTTCAAGAGTATCTGTGCCGCCTCCCTCATCGTCCTCTTCTACTATGTCTCTGTCTCCTTCTCCCTCATATTCATCCACCTCCATGATCAGAGAGCTCTCGCAGCCCGAGTCATCCAAGAAACGCCCATATCGCCTCTCTCGGCTCTCCCTTTTCTTGGGCAAACTCAGGTCCAGAGGTTCTGTCTGCTCCTCCATTTCAACCTCATTGAATGTTTTGCAACACTTCAAGTCCATTTCTCGCAAAATTAAAGGAACATTTTTCTGAATTTCCTTCTCTGTAGTTTCCTCTTTAATCCTCGGCTGACTTAAAAACGTAACTGTATTAGCAGTAAAAGGAGTTTCCGACCCATCAATGTGGACAATTTTAACATCCAAAACGTCTCTGTCTTTGCACAATTTATCCCGTTTCTCTGCTTCTGTCTCAGGAAATGCTTCGGCTTCTTCTTCAGTCTTCTGGTAAGTAACTTCCATGATTTCTCCTTCATTTTTAACAGCTGGCACACAGATTTCACGTTTCTTCTGTGATTCAGCAGAGACCAACACGGGTCCCTGAAATTCTGAGAGAGCAAAGTCTTTGGTCAGGCTGATAGCAGAGTTTGTGATTGGCCTCTTGCACCGTGGAGGGACAACAATTTTGATTCTTATTGGCTGGCTGTGCAAAACAGGCACTCCAGACTTTACTGTAATTGGCTGTCTGAGCCCACCAATCTTAGTTGTTTCCTGAGAGGCTGGCTCATAAGTCCCGCCCACCTCTGGCTTTTTCCCATTGATTGATAGAGCATCTTGCCTGATGGTCACTGCTGCCGTGACAGGGCATGGCTGGAGGTTACCTGGTACAGTACTGCATGCAGTTTCGTCCTTTGGGTCCAATAAAGTCTCTGTCACTGGCCCTGATCCCTCTCCACACTGGCTGCCATTTTGGACATCCAGGCTGCCACTGGTCAGGACTGAAGCCAACTGAGAATCCATTTTGGGGCATACCTAGTTATATTTCTTTTAAATAAAAGTAAAATAATAGATTAGACACTAAAATAATGACAATTCTAATAAAGAAAATGTGCATTTTAATTATAGCCTTTTGCTTATACCAGGAGAGGAAAATTATTAAATAAATATCCTTAGTTGGCTGGATGGGAGAAGAAGAAGAAAAAAGTCTGGGGATTATTGGGGTCAACTTTAGTGCGAAATGCCCAAACCCACTAGTGCTGTGATATTATAAGCAGCGTGCAGACTATTCACCCTAAATCCTCGGGCCGAAACGATGAACGACTCCTATGACCCTCTTCTTCAACAGCAAACGTGCTGTCACTTTACATGATCCCAAATCTTAGCTCACAATTCCTAACGACGGATCACCGATAATGAAAAAAAACGCACCGGAGTACAGAAGGGTCCGAATGATGCGAGGGAAATTTCATTTCCTGGCTTACACTTCTTCCGTCCACATTCATCATACATGATGAAACCTTCCATTATAAAATTCGCATCAGAACATTATTCATACCCGGTTAAGCTCGCAAGAACCAGCCTGTTCTACCCCCTTTCTGCTTATAAACCGAGAAGAACTATCCGCGGAGGACGCCATTACGCACAGTCCTAGGTCCGAAATGCCAACGTTATTATTATTCCGCGTGTGCGCCCTGACGGCTCTCGGACCTGGGACAACGCTGTCGCAAACGCGCGCGTCGGAGTAGAAAACCCCCCCATGTATATTTACACACAGTCGTGGCGTGGAGCGGATCCTTCCCCTTGCACCGGAGCTTCCTCGAACCCACAGCCAGCCATTTTAGAGCCGAGGGTCCGAGATACCGCGAGCGCAGCTTTAGGACAAACTTTCCCGGTGAGCTGTCATTTATTCCAGCCGTGCTGTCAGAGCCGGCGTAACACGCACCGGACACGCTTTCGATACATTTAAAAACTGGATTTTAAACTATACTCCACCCATACTCTCGCTGCATAGGGACTGGCTTACCCAAGCTGTGGATATTTCCGGAGGACCAAATATGACTGTGCAGTGTAAAGGGTGATGCTGCGAATGCTGTGGGAGGGAGGGGTCAAGGGGAGTTGCTATGGTGTCGCAGCCTACCGGGTCCGACCAGTAGCCATGTTCAGCCTATGAGTACTGTTGAACCTGCAGCCTGCAAAGAAAGGCTCTCTGTGCTCCCAAGAATCAAAGAGAAGGGGGCAAAGCAGGAGAGGTAAAGTGGAATCACACAGGAGGGTTTTATTTGCCATCAAAGAGCTGGAGAGCAAAGCATTTTGACAATATTTTATTTCAAATCTCTCATGTTAAAAACTTACAAGCTTTGAGACTTGATGCGTCGGGCTCAACAGAAGAAAAAAGATCACACAGTGAAACATCACAGAGTCGAGTCATTATGTATTAGGCTACATGAAGGTATCGTCAGGGGTATAGCTGGTACTACTGTATTATACACACACACAGTCATGATTACATATAGATTGCATCTATGGCACAATTTGGTTGAATTACTTCACAGTTATGCCTGCAGTTGAATAGTATTCAGGGCAAAGAGAGGAAAGTTGAGAGCAGTGGTGAAACCCCGTGAGGCCAAAAGAAAGACATCTTAGGCTGCTGATCCACAAAAGCTGTGAAATCAAAAAAAATAGTCCCTGCATCTAACTAACTGTAGCTCTGATGGTTACAGAGAAGCTGCAGAGCGGTCAGGGAGGAGGTGTACGGAGGGCGTGTGTTTTGGAAGTGCTCGAATTGTGGCACAGTGTCTGTCATGAGCGCTGGGTGGGTCGAGATCAGACGTGCAGGTCATTACTCCACGTCGCCGGGCTCGCATGCTTCAATTTCCGAGACCAGCCGATGAGGAAAGAGTTTATACTGCAGCCACGTTGGCTCTGAAGAACGATAAGATTGCACAACTATTAGAAACACTTCATGGCGTTACAGATGTTAGTTACACATGACAAACAACCGGGCACGGTGGCTGGTGCAGGTTTACCAAGGTAGCAGGCTGGTGTCTGCAGCTTTCCATTAAAGCAGGTCTGGGTTGCGGTGAAGCTGCATTGCTTACGAGGATGTTTGCAGAAGAACGTCACGTTTTCCCCGTGGGGAACCATGGCATCTGTAACATCAAACGGCCAGCGTTTCACGCCACCAATCATCACGCGGCTTCGCTCGGCAGGAATGAGGCAACGAGCTGTGAGGATGACCAACAAGGTATGAAAGTATCATATAAACATCAGACACATAATGCTGTGTTTATTAATTGCCGTGTGCAGGTGCACATTTATTTGAGTTTCTAGGACTTTATGCAAAGGTGTCTCTCTACATTTTACTTCAGCTTTGTTAAATAGTCCGGATATTAGATTGGATCGTTCCTCACCTCTACAGTGCGGGGGCGGCGCACTCCAGCTGCCATTGGACAGACAGGTGATCATCTGGGGTCCATCCAGGAGGAAGTTCTTTTTGCACAGGTAGTGGATGTCAAAGCCCACTTCATACTCAGTCTTCTGGACAGCCACTACATAGCCCTGCTCCACCTCTGTAGGAGGCTGGCAGTACACTTCTATTGAAGAAAGCAGGTTTATCAGTAAACTTAATCAGAAGGTTTGCTGACATTTAAAACACAGGAGCAGAGTTACTATTTCACAGGACAAATGCACAGTTGCTCAATTTTTCATCATTGTTTAAAACCTTGAAACTCCACTGAAGTAACCTCGCTCTTATCTTTAACATGTTTTAATAAATGACAGGCCCAGCCGTACTCCCGTTGGCCTGATTCGAGAACTATCCTCAAAGAATTTTCCATTTCTGTTAAACAGGCCATGAAATCCCAGGTTTGACCACACGATGGCAGAGAAGCACTGCAAAACGGAGCAGTAGCTCCTGAAAGATGCATGCCTGAGAGTGTCTGTGTGTTTCTGTCTGGCTTCTCTGATTCAGTATTTCTTAAATATCAGCTCTCAGAAATGCATGCATGCTACAAATGATGGAAAAACAAACCATTTCTGAGCTGATGTTATTTGTAGACTCAGTTTGATCATTCGCTACCCAAGCATTTTCTGCTAACCTGCTAAAAAAATGGATGAAGTTACACTAAGAGTGAAGAAAACGTAGCACACATGCATGTTCACACATGATGGTTAGTCAGCACAGGACGCCCTGTACACTTACTTTTACAGATCGGGTGAGGATACTGCCAGGTCTGATTCTCCTGGCAGAAATTTTCCCTGCTCCCCACTATATCCGCCCTGCAGGAGAAAAAGGAAAGAGTGATGGAGACAGACGGTGGTGCGACATGTACAGTACTGACTAAATGTGATGGAGAAAAAGGTGTAAATGTTTCCTTTTTCCACCGTCTCTCTGTGAGAGTGACTAAATTTTGTGTGCACAGTTCTCTGGCTGACACATCCACTCAGGCTCATCTTATCCTGTGAGATGAGTCAGTGCGTAAAGGGGAGTCAATACAAGATTAGACTGTAATGACCTAGTTAGCTCAATGGAGAGATCGTCAGCTGGGAGATCAAAATGAATTCCCTGCCATTCATTGCTCATCACACCTCTGCTGTATTCAAGCCTTCCCTTCACTCCCTCCCTCTTCTTCACACTCCGTCTCCGTTCTCTCACTTCCTCCATTTCCATCTCTGTGGCATTTCAAGTTTTGAGACCCCCGCACATTCACACTCAGCGTTAACCCTGCCCTCACCCAGACAGGCAGCTGTAGCGGATGGATGTTCCTACAGCAGCGTCTCCCTGAATGCTGAAGGTGTTGATCACTTCCTTGGGCAGAGGGCAAGTCTGGACAGCAGCAAGTTCAGGTGACTCTGATAGTCAAAGAAGACAAGAGGCAGTGAATGGCAGGTTAAACATGCTATCTATAAAATACACTCACTGGCCACTTCATTAGGTACATCAGTTCACCGGTTTGATAATGCAAATATGTAATCAGCCAATCACATGGCAGTAAGCCAGTGCATTTGATCATATAGACATGATCGAGTCGACCTCCTGAAGTTGAAATGGAGCATCAGAATATGAAAGGTGTCTCAAGTGACTCTGTATCTGGTCTGTTTATTTCAGAAACTGCTGATCTACTGTGATTTTCCACCATAACCATCTCTAGAGTTTACAGAGAATGATCTGAAAAAGAGAAAATATCCACTCGTAGCCAGTTCCTCGGGTGAAAATGTGTTGTTGATGCCAACGGTCAGAGGAGAATAGTTCAAGCTGATAGTAGAACAACAGTAACTCAAATAACCACATGTTACAACTAAGATATGCAGAAGAGCCTCTCTCAACGCACAGCGTTGAGCTACAGCAGCCATAACATATACTGCTCCTGTTACCTAAGAAGAGGAAACTGTGCCTTCAGTTCACTCAGGCTCACCAACGCTGGACTGTAGAAGACTGGAAAAAAAATGTTGCCTGATCTGATGAGTCTCGATTCTTGCCGCAACATTTCTTGCCTTGTATCAGCAGTTCGGGCTGGTGGTGGGGGTATGATGTTCCAGAGGGATATTTTCTTTGCACACTTTGGGTTTGCTGAGCATCCTTTAAATGCCAAAGTGTACCAAAGTATTGTTGCTAACCATGTCCATCCCTTTATTGCTGCAGCAACAGTGGGATGCTGTCACGTCAATATGGACCAAAATCTCTGAGGAATCTTTCCAGCACCTTGATAAATCTATGCCACGAAGGATTAAGGCAGCTTTGAAGGTTAAAGGGGGTCCAGCTCAGTACTAGCAAGATGTAACCACAAAATGGTAAGTCAGTGTACAAAGTCAAAATACACACAGTCACCTTTGTCATTCTCCAAATGCAGTTTCTTTTCTGTATCTACTGGTACGCTGACTCTGAACTACACTTCATTGGCAAATATTGCACTTTTTAGGAAAAACATTAATATTATTATTGTGTTGTTGTTGCAGGATTTTTCAGTGGCAGAAAAGACCCAGTCTACTCTACTCCATTCATCTGCTAACTAACTATAATCACAGGCATTACAGACTGCAGGAGTACATATAAACATCTAAAGATCAGACTGCACAAAAGTGCACAAAACTGCAGTCATTGCAAGAGTAAAGCATTCAATAGCATACATGTCCTCATGCATTTGTTTCCAAGACATTAAGTATATTAAGTGAATGATAATAATGACTCACAATGACCCCAAAAAAGCCCTCGATTGAGTGACATAGATGTGATAAGAAAGGTAAAATCTACTATCAGAGTTTGCTATCAGAGTATAATTTAGTTAGTTTTGGGCAATGACGACCTAATAGCTAGTTTTAGGAAAAGATGGTAGCTTGGGTTAAAATATCTGCGTCTTAAGGAGCCGCTGTGACAAAAAGCCCTGAATGCAAACTCGTCCCATGTGTGAAGAAAATCAAGAAAAACCCTGAAGGAAATGAAACAGGAAGAAAAACAGAGAGCAGGACCAGCCATCATGTCATCTCATTTGACTTGTGTTAACCAAGGTTTCCATATAGTTTGTGACCCACAGAGGCGTTTGACACAGTGTCTTGTTTTATTCAAGTTGAAACAGGCCTTCTTAGATAATAAATCAAAGTTCGACGAGCAGGTGAAACGCCGCCCCGCACGTCCCCGAGCTCACAGCTCTAACTGTGATTGTATAACACCTGGCATTGTTCATTCCTAGATGTTTGAGTGCCTCACGCTTGTGGAAATATAAATATCAAGAGTGGTGCTTGGAGAGAGGCTGGAGTGACCTGAGCTGCATCAAGCGCGGGGTTTCAAAACTGAACACGGCTTTGAAAGGTAGAGACAGCGCTCGCCCGAGGGCTATCTTGGTATCTGAAACCGAGAAACGTTAATGTGAGAATGTAAAGGGACCTATGGGAGAGGGAGAGTTACGACTCTGTTTGGCTGCAGTTGAGAGCCCGAAGCAGAGTTCTGTTTTCACATACCGCCCTGCTCCTACCTTGTACCGCTGCCACCCACACAGGCTGCAGCACCAAAGTGCTATAAA